TACGATCGGTGAGGAAGGAGGAGAACCACCGCATAACCGTGCCTCCCACTCCCAACCCACCCAAATATCTTTAGTACAGATCTCAAACTATTACATTAAATGTTTTCCCTCTTTTCCCCTTAGTATTTACTGTCTCATCTTTAAATTAAATTAAATTAATACAATTCTTATTATATCAATTAAATAAAAAATAACTTTCTTGCATTTATCAATAATTTTTAGTTTATACATATCCTAGTTGTTTTAACATTCAATCTTTTTAGACAATCAATGTCCTGGTTAATTTTCCCCAATTTTTGGTTTCCCATTAGTATTTATATTTCACGTTTGATATCTATAATTTCCAAATTTTAAATAACCCCAATTCCCTTTATCACAATTCATCACAAGATCTAATGTTCAGAATACACATCTTATCTATTTGAGTTCTCACCATCTTACATCAACTAATTAGTAATACAATATAATATTCTTATTTTCTGGTAAGTTCCAGATATCTTAAATTTAGTAACCAAAATTCCTCCTATTTCAACATTTAATACTTCTTGTCTTTTTCTCTTAATAGCTACTATCTCATATTTAAGCTAAATATTTAAGCTAATAATTCTTATTATTACCGCTAGGTAAAAAAATATTTATTACATTCATCGATTGATTTTTAGCTTATATATATCTTAATTACCTTTACATTTAACCTTTATAAGCAAATCAATGTTCAAATTTAAGTATTAATATTTATACGTCTAACTTATAAATAACCAAAGTTTTCTTTCTCTCATCTCATAACAATATCTAATATTTCAAAGTACATGTCTTAGCTATTTGGGTATATTCTATTTTAATTCACACAAGCAAGTCAAATCCCCAATTTTCTTCAGTCTTATTCTAGCTTTCTTTTTTTGTCAAATTGTCTTCCATGTTCGTGTTTTAGAGTCATCAAACAAATCTTCCTGTGTTGTTATATAGATTGTTTGACGTAGAAAAAAAACCATCTGGTTGCCATTTTTTTGAAAATCGTCTATTTTTCCATCTCGCCGTAGTTGTCCTGAACTGTTTAATCTTCTCTTCAATCTGTTCTTCTTCTTGATCCTCAGGTTCTTTCTGATTTATGTAGAAAGTCTTTTCTTTTTTCCATATTGTCAGTCCCTTTTCTGGGTTTTCCATTGACTGTATTTGTTGATCAATTGAATCTTCTGTCATACTCTTTAATTGTTCCACCTTTTCTGTTACATTCTGTGTAGTTGATTTTTCAGATGTAATCAAAGTTTGAGTTTGTATATCTGGGCTGACATCTTGTTATTTTTTGTAACCTCTTATTTCATCAGTAGCTGTAAGAATAGTTTGATGAATTGCTTTTAACATAGAGAGAATCTGTTCTTGATCTTCATCCATATTTTCTTAGTAATGTATTAGGTTAAAAGCTTTACAATCAGAGAATGCAAAAAAGAGATTTTGTCACTGAATAAGGAACACAGCTGGGTTTCTCTCAAGGTTCCATAAGTCTTATCTATTTTTCTGGGCTACTGGCCAAGTCTCTTTTAGACAATAACAAATTGTAGTATCAAGCTTAGCCACAAGATGTCGCTCCTACCATTAAAGGTTTTCTTTTGAATCTGAAGTTTTTATAATCTTTTCAGTTTTGCTTCTTTCTTATAAATAAAAACCCTAATCTTCAATAAGCATAGAAGATTTTTTTAGTCCACAAACTTTAAAAAATAGAATTCCAATTAGGATCAAGTTGTTCTTTCAATGTTTTAAACTCCCCTGGATAGTCAGTCACCACTGTTTCTTGAGGGAGGGGTAAAATCTCCTTTCCCTCTCCACAGGGGGAAAAGTACTTAAGGTAGCTTATGCAGGTAAAGAAAATAGCTAGGATTTAAGAGAGGTAGATCTCACCCAGTCTCAGCCATTCTGCCTTAAAATCGCCTGATGGTAAGTGTGACTTCGGCTGCCTGCAGTCTAGTGACGAGCCATATTGCTATGGCTGATCTTTCGTCCACTGGTTTGGAGGGCTGCCCTGGATCAAGCGGAAGAGCTACCACCATCCCGTGATCCAACAGGGATCCCCTCCTTGCTGGTTGCCCCTACAGGGTGACTTTAGACCCTTTCCAGGGTCCCCCAGTGAAGCAAAACTGAATGCAGAAGACAGAGCTTGCCTTCCAGACGTCCATATTGGCTGCCTCAGCAAACCAGAAGACCTCACAAGCTTCTATTCTTTAACAATTGTTTCTGTTTACACTCCTAAAAATTTTGTTCAGCAATTATGCCTCTTAAGTATGATAACTCATTGAATCTTATATTGTAGCTTCAGGGAAAAAGATGTTTCATCTGCTCAAAGCTCTCCCAATTAAAAATTTTGTCCACATTTTGTGGTAGAATATTTTGTTTACTACACTATAGGCATGGTTGAATGGAGAACTTCATATATTTTATTATTACATTTAAGCCCAGCCATTCTGTTTTAAAAAGCTTTTAAGGTAGCTATCAATGCGACTCTAGAGTGGTTTTGTCACTTATCTCAATTACATTGCCTACCAGGCTGATTACTAAAAATCATTTTATGAGGGTTTTTCTCATGAGTTGTTGCCTGTTATTCAGCTCAGGTCTTATCAAGATGATGAAGAGTTTGGGGAAGAAAATGAGGGTCAGTAATCCAACACTTGAGGCTAAGATGGAGAAGACTTCCACAGCCACTGTGTATTTCCCTTTGGTGCTCTGGTAGGCTGGAACAAAAGAGATCCAGACACTGCAAAAGAGAAGCATGCTGAGGGTGATAAATTTGGCTTCATTGAAACTATCTGGGAGGTTTCTGCCAAGGAAAGCCACTGAAAAGCTGATCATAGCCAAGAGACCAATGAAACCTAGGAGACAATAAAACAAGGCAGGAAAGCCTTCATTGCACTCCAGGACTATTTCTGTAGGCAGTGAGTGCATATCAAGGTCTGGGAAGGGAGCACAGCTCACCAGCCACATGGTACAAAGAGTAGTTTGAACAACAGAGCAGGAAGGCACTATGAAGAGAGCCAACTTGTTCCCTACCCATGACCTCATCTTAGAATCTGGCCTGGTGGCCATGAAAGCTAGGACTACAATGAGGGTTTTGGCCACAACACAAGAAACTGCCAGAGAGAAGATGATGCCAAAAGCAGTTTGGCGAAGGAGACAGGTTGCTGTCTGAGGCCGACCAATGAAAAGCAAAGGGCAGAGAAAGGAAAGCAGAAGGGAGACCAGGAGGATGTAGCTGAGGCCCTGGTTGTTGGCCTTGACTATGGGGGTATTTTTGTGCTGGACAAAGACCACAAGGACCAGAGCTGTGATGGAAGAAAATAAAAGAGCAAAAATGGTCAAGGTGATCCCCAAAGGTTCTTGAAATGATAGGAAGCTGATCTCTTTTGGAATGCACTGATCCTGGGCTTTGCTGGGATAGTGATCCTCTGGACACTGGTAACAAGAATCCATATCTGAAAAAGGGGAAAAAAGTCTCTTTGGCACAGAACGACTCAAAAAAAATTAGACCAAGATCAGAAGATATGGAGAGAACTGGCCCATAGAATCACCAGAGGTGGACATGACTAAATGGATAACATCCTCCTCCTCCTCCTCCTCCTCCTCCTCCTCCTCCTCATCATCATCATCATCATCATCATCATCATCATCATCCCCAAACAATGGTGTTTTTATAAGACATAATTCAGGACCTAACACCCATTTCTTTATTTCCTTTTCATTCATTAGGTTTATATCCCACTTTTCCTTCAGATGTTCTAGGCAACATACCTACCCCTGTGTTGTCTTGCTTTCTCTAAAATAAACAACCTTGTGGTATATGTTGAATTGAGAAAAGAACAGGGCCAAAGTCAACAGTGAACATTCATGATAAACTGTGGAGAGACTTATGTGAGCTCAGCCACAAAAACTAACACACATTTTATTCTCCTTAGAACTCTTCTTCAAGTACTATGTGTCTCAACAACCTAAGGATATTCCAAGTCAGGTTTCAAATAAGGTAGTCTGAAAACTGTTCTACCAATTTTAATGAAAATGGGCATGATTTGTTCTCTTCTAAACCTTGAACTTCTCTGTAACTCTCATCCCATTCTGCAAAATCTCTACACAAAGAGCATTACAATTTTGTATGATTCCTATTGAGTTTATGGAAATACCAAATCAAAGATCCATAACTGGAAAAAATCCCTGCATTGTCTTCCTTGTGCATTTTATAACATCCTACTAGGGGAAAAAATTCTAACTATTTCCCACATTAATAGAAAATGTGAATCCCATTTTTCTGATCTCTGGTCTGGATAAAAAATTGGACCCAATACTTGGCCCCAGAGGAATCCACCAAGGAGAGCAAATGATGAAAAGAATGATGGGATGCAAATTCTATCACTGTATGTGTGGATCGACATCACCAACATAGCAAAAGAAGACAGAGCTTACATTACAATGGAGCAACACAATCCTATTTCTATTCCGCCTGCTTTTTACCCAAAGAATTGTAATACCATTACCATCACCAATGGATTAAAACTCGGCAGGCATACCTGTCCAATTTGACACTTTTTCTTGTGGGCATAGAAGGCAATCATAACAACAAAATGGTTTTCCTTCCTTCTTGGTCTTGCTGTGACCTTTAGAGCAGGGTTCATTACACAAAGAACGAGGTTGTACCTGTGTGCAATGGGAAGTTACAATTGCTTTAACTCTTAGCAAAACTTATTGAACAAATTGAATCTTGGATTGAAGCTGTATAACTTTATTTCTAATTAGACAGCCAGACTAATAGCTTGGGAAGTAATGTTCACATGTCTTTTTTAAAAAAGTTCTTATTAACTAAATACACAAATCAAAGAAAAAGATAAAGCATTACACAAATGTATAATAGAAGAAAAAGAAAGAAAGAAAGAAACAGGGCATATATTGTCAAGCATAAATATATAAAACATTCTAACAGCAGGCACTGGGCACTCTAAAACCATGTTCATTACTCTAGTAAATAGAAGTCACCCTTGTGATCTGCATCCATAGTAAAGAAGAACTCCCATTTCTAGATGTCCTAACCATCAAAATTGAGAAACTACAAGCAAGTCACATAACACTGCAGAAACCCGACCATACAGATGTCCAGCTACATAAAGACTCCAATCATCATCCCAGTCAAAAGAGAAGCATGATCAAAATGGTAGACAACCATGCCAGCTGTATCTGCAAGTTTAAGAAATTATCTAGGGAATTAAGATACCTTAATCAGGCTCTATAAGCTAATGGATGCTTCACTAATGAGATTGGCTGAGTATGACACCTAAGCAGGAGAATAATAATAAATACATCCATGGAGAAACCATTCCCAACAGGAAATGTATTTCTCCCCTACATAGAGAAGGTCATTTACCAAATAGGATTTTTTTTAAAGAAAACACCACTTTAAAATCTTCTACAACTTGACTAAAAAAATATATATCAAGAAATCATCTGATTAACCAAAGACAGCAGAGGCCAACTGACAAACCAGTCTGTATTGCATCTCCTGTAGTGTGGGCAGATATATGGTGGTATCACAAAACACAGTTTCCATACCCAAGTAAAAGAACATGAGAGGCACTACCACAAAAAAATACTCAATAGTGTCATAATAAGCATGAAAATTGATGGAAGGATGCACATTAAACTATTAGATGCATCATTCCAATAAACAGAAAACATCATTTGTTACAGTCACCACAATTAATCTATATTGAATAATTTTGCAGACTTCTGAGTAGTTGGAGCACACTTTGAAAATACCTGGTCCAAGTGTCAAAAGAGATTAAATTATTACTGTAATCAAAATTTGCATGAACTGTAGATTTAGAGACAAGATCCCAAAACAGATCATGATACATGCTTATTGCTACTTGGCTATGGTTGCAAATGCAAATTAGCACATTTACTACTTTAGTAACCACTTCTATCCATATTTCTGTGAGTAAAAACATTCAACGATTGAAATCCATTAGCTGTTTAGGCCAACCTATATGTTTGTCCTTTCAGATACCTGTAATTGGAAGGTCCTTTAATCAAGATATTTCAATCAATCAATCAATCAGAATAGAGCTGGAAGGGACCTTGGAGGTGTGCTAGTTGAACCCCCTACTCAAGCAGGAGACCCTATACCATTTCAGATAGGTGGCTGTCCAGTCATTTTTTAAAAACCTCCAATGATGAAGCACCCACAACTTCTGAAAGCAAGCTGTTTCACTGGTTAATTGTCCTCGCTGTTAGGAAGTTTCTCCTTAATTCCAGATTGCTTCTCTCTTTGATTAGTTTCCATCCATTGTTTCTTGTCTTGCCTTCTGGTGCTTTGGAAAATAGATTGACCCCCTCCTCTTTGTGGCAATCTCTTTGCTATCATGTCACCCCAGTTCTTCTTTTCATTAAGCTGTCATCTACTGTACCAGTATTGTTAAGTAGTGATTCTCTGCAATTTTAAAATCTTTGCAGAAGAATACATAGCTATCAGATGTACATATATATTCTAAAATGGACACCTCTGAAGTCCTCAAAAGATGATCTCTCAGAATCCTCAGTCATTAAACTATTTAGAATCTTTCAAATCAATGTTGGTTATATAGATACAGTATATGGAGTAAGCATCAATTAATTGACTTAACCTAAGAGGGCAATATGACTACTTTACTATTTATATTCTGAACTTGGAACAGAGGAAACAATGAGATGGACTGCAGACTGTAGACAGAATATACCTGGTTAAATCTCCTTGACCATCTGATGGCATCAACAAAAAGACTAAAAACATTGTCTTTGGGAGCTCTGAGATCAAATGTTCCCACTTTGACTCGATATAGTGTTTTGTTTGGGAATGTGATCCAATTGATAATATCAAATCCTACTTCCAAATTCCCATTTTGATCAAAAGAAATCATCTGCCCAACACTGTTGTTAAATGAGCCTTTTCTGAGATAATGGTGGAGCTAAAATGAAAGTGAAAAAAAAGCAATAAAGCTATGCAAATGTAATACAAACAATATAACAGAAAGGATATTTCACAGGATTGAATTAGTAATGCCTAATCAAACTATCAACATTCATAATTAATAATATAATTAACCAGGTGCTTATTATTAGTGCTTACAATATGTCAACAATTTAAACATGAAGTCAAATCAAACAAGAAGGATGAGGATGAGAATGAGGAGTATGAGGAGGAAAATTATACATTATAAGTACATATATGTTACTTATATGTAAGGGTGTAGGTCTATACATATGTTGTATATAGTATGTTTTAAATGTGTGTTATGTATGTGTACACTTGAGTGCAAGCAACTAAATTTCATTTTTAATGTGTGCCATTGTGTCCACAGGGGAAAAAATGACAATAAAGGTTATCTAAAGAAGAAGAAGAAGAAGAAGAAGAAGAAGAAGAAGAAGAAGAAGAAGAAGAAGAAGAAGAAGAAGAAGAAGAAGAAGAAGAAGAAGAAGAAGAAGAAGAAGAAGAAGAAGAAGAAGAAGAAGAAGAAGAAGAAGAAGAAGAAGAAGAAGAAGAAGAAGAAGAAGAAGAAGAAGAAGAAGA